GGGCTTGGGCTCTTCTTGAACACTCTTTGCAAAATGCTGGAGGATCCAGGTTATCATCAACGTATGTCTGAGAACGTTTTTCAGAACTGGACGAACAAATAGGGTAAAAAACGAGGAAGTGTTAGAATTACGGAGAACAAGACAGAGCCCAGTCGGAGATGAAGTGGAAAGAAAGTAGTGGGGATGGATCGGATTGAGCATACCCTCAGTAAATCGGGCAGCTACATAACAAAGAAGGATTTAAATCCACGGGATACGTAATGAATGGGAAGGCCACGTGGAACCTGCAGAAGAGAAACAGAGAATGATGTAGGCCTACAGAAAAGAGGAGAAATATCTAAAACATGTCAAGAAGCTAATTCATCATCGAGAAAAATGAAAAGTGTCGGTCCAGGGTGAAACAAGGCTAGGCGATAATGCAGCTGGGCGTGGGCTCTTCTTGAGCACTTTGCAGAGCGTGATCGCAGTCAGAGGTATCGAAATACAACATGTATCCCTGCGAACTTTGATCTTCTGGTCGGTCGTTCTGGTTCAGAACACAATTTTTTATCATATGACAGGGATTTTTTCCCGCAACCTCCCCCCCAAACCGAATGCTGTAGATATAAACCCAGGTGTACGTCTTTCGCTGTGTGTACCGCCTTTGCTGCGCCTCCGATCAGGCTCTTTCTTGTCGGGAAGACCAGTCACACTTTGTCGCACACGTCTTTTTTTTTCTCTTCTAATATTTAAGTCCGAACGAAGACAAAGATTGTTTTTCTTTCTATGTCTTTCAAAAGTGAGCAGTCACTTTTGTTGAGCTATCACACCTTAGTTTTTGTTTCTTTATGTTCTTTAATAGGCCCATATCTTGATTTGTAGGCATACTGTTAGCTGCTCTCGCGAGGGTTTTTAAAATTATCATTATTATTATTATTATTATTATTATTATTATTATTATTATTATTTCACCTATGTTCGGTTCCACGTAATTGTTTCTTTCTGTTTATTTGATGTACTGAGAACTTGTTCTTCTAATTTTTCTGTGCTGGTACAAGGTGGGTGTTCTGCAACTTTCTTTGCAGTCGAAAGTGGTTCAAATCGTTCAGCTTTGCGACATTGTTTTTTTTCCTTTTTTTTTTCTAGGAGTCCGATGTCAAATCAAAGCACTTTCAACGCCCAACAAATTGGGGTTGTGATACAGCAAAGGAAAAATTCCTGTAATCTATACATGTACTGAACTACCGGGTACTTTATTATTTTTTTTGCAAACGAGAAAAATTAAAATTGTAGACGGGCACCAACGATTATGATGCATCACACAATCGAAATAGACGGACTGGTATAATATTGTCCCGCATCTATGAAACAAAAACTCTAATCATATGACAGGGGGCTTTTCCTGCAAAAACGAATTCTGTCGCTTTAGTTAATTTTAACATTATGGCCTGGAAAACTTGAATACTGACCAACCATTGTATTTATTTTTGCTCAACGTAATCGCCCATATTTCAAGGTCTCGCGGGTGGGTAGTTGGCGGGTGCTCTGGTGTGGTTTGCTTCTTCTTTCCTATCAAACATCTATCGTCCTTATCTCACCTCCTTTTTGTTTGTTTGTTTGTTTGTTACTCTCTTGTAACACCTCTAGTCTTCTGGCGTTCATACGACCTAATGCAGTTGCGAGTGCCTTAAAAACCTCTACTAAAACAAACAAGGTCTCGCCTTCGCGTCGTCAACGACCAGCCTGGCGAGTCATAAACTGACTGATGAGATCATGAATTCCACACAGGTGTGGTAGTATTGACCGTTTCAGTTCCGCGACTTTTGGAGCACCCTCTTTATTCACAAATTTCGTATTATTGCTTCAGATTACACGTTTCAGTTGGGATGATTGAGAAACAGTTTTACAGAGACTGAGACATGTGTATCCCACCGCCCGCCGAGTACTTTAGAAATAAGCACTCACTTAAAACAAACAAAACAAAACAACAAAAACAACAACAAAAAACAAAACAACAACAACAACAACAACAACAACAACAACCATAAACAAAACAAAACAAAACAAATAAAAACCCCTTAAAAATAACCCATGTTATCTTGATGTGCTGATTTCATGACACAAGAAATTGCACAGAAAGAAAGAATATTAGATCTATTTTAAATTACTTTTTAGATGTTTGTTTCAGATCTAGCACTTGGAGAAG